AGGGCAGGGCAGGGCAGCGGGCAGGGCAGGATAGGGAGGGCAGGTGTGCCAGGGCGGTTGGCGAGCCGCACAGACCGGCTCGGATGCCTGGAATCTGCCAGCCTGGAGCCCCAGACCCGCCTGGGGGTACTCCCCAGACCCCCCAGCTCAGACTAAAATGACGCCAACAACAGTGAGGGGTTTGGGGTCCCTGATGAACGGCAGAGACGTCAATGGCAGGGCTGGGTCACTACAATCCTTGTATACCGGCAGGCCTCACCGTTCTGACGGGACGCTCGGCCGGGGGCTCGGTCGGAGCCTCGAACGGTCAGCGGCGCTCTCGGCAGTTTAGGGTTTAGGGTTTGGGCCCGGGATCTCTTAATCAGGATTATTCGCTTGTGAAACGCAAATACATTTGGTATATACTTCGAGTCATCCACATACTGTGGCGCATCATGTGTAATGTACCATACTTATTGTTTGTATATATGTATATAACTGTATATATATATATGCATACACAGAGACATAGAACTAGACTGATAAACGTCATAATGCATAGCTCCCGGATATACTCCTTACTGCGACGTTGGGCTCTCTGAGTTTATGTTCGTCATACGTGGTCTGTTGGAGACAGCCCAGCTTCCGGGAGGCTTTGCATGATACCGTGTAGAATCGGTTCTACCAGAGCAGTTTTCAGCCGAAGTGTGTGCAAGATGCGCCGAGCAGTCCAAGGCACACGTAGTCGATTGAATAACGTTCAACCTGCTTTGCAGTGGTGTGCCGCTGGGAGCAGCCATGCTCGAAGCTTGCATACTCAGGTCCAGCCCCAAGGGAGAGGGCAATGGTCGCGCTCGACGCCTCTCTCTCATCCCAGCAGGACGAATCATGTCAAAAGCTGCAGGAGGTCTCCTTGTTGCCAGAACTCCTGCTCAGAGGCTCATGTCGCGCTTGTTCTTAGAGTTATGCGTGTCTGTGTCTTAGCGTCGGTCCTTCTAGTTCTTTCTCTTTCCGTCTCGCCGTCCGTAATACTCTCTACGTCTCTGCCTGCATCTGGTAGCTCCTGGTCCCTACCATCGCCTGTGTTCGCAGCGGATCATCTTAACCGAATCCACGAGCACAAATGGTAGTTCTTTAAGATAGGGTCCCTGTCTACGTCCGTCTTGTCCAGCCACACAGATATGGTAATGACGGCTCAGCAATTGGTCCAGTGGTTCCCTTGCGGATGAACCTGCGTAAGTGATGGCACCCAATGTATCAACTTTGCGGCAGGACAGCTGCAACGCCAGCTTTCATTTGCCGACGAATCGCTTGACCAGTTGTCCGCAAACATCTTCACGGAGGAACCTGAAGTGGACTGGCTCGATGCTTGTCGAAATAGAAGGGCTATCGACCATTGGCAGGTGCGTGAACAGGCGGGATTTCCATGAGAGGTTTCCTTCGATCTAGTTAGGATCTATAGTCCTTACATATCTTCGGAAGCTACCTTTTGTTGGTCGTGCGCCAAGGAAGACTTTTGGAACCGCGTGCTCGTGGGGACACCCCCTGTTGAGTGCAGGGGCCTCTCCACGCGCCCCATCGACTACTGGGTGCGCCTGCTATTTGCGTCAGGGGTTTGGGTTTAGGGTTTAGGGGTTTAGGGTTTAGGGCTAGGATCTAGTTCAGGGTTTAGGGCTCCGGTTTAGGCACAGCTTGCGATGTCAGGCTAGGGGTGATATCGAGTTGGGAAAAGCAGCATTTTTTGAATTCAGGCACATGGGGTCCGTCGCTCCAGACTCCACCTCTGCTTGTGTGGTGCTCCATGTGCATGTCACAGGTCGAGATCTTCAATCGATGGCAAGCCATGGGATCATGGTCGCTTGGTCCTAAGGAAGGTGATCAGTATCAGTCCTTTTTGAGGAAAAGCAGTTTGTTGGAACGGAGATGCTGAGTGGCAGCCGGAACAGTTGCCTTACCTGGGCCTCCACTGCATGACTGTGGAGGGGGAATGCCGTTGCAGTATTGCTAGTCTCGAAGTCCTTTTGCAAACTACCAACTACGGCAATCTTTTCTCAGAGCTCACATGGCAGAATGTCACATGCCCGAAAACCTGTGAAGTTCGACAAGAATCCGAGGAAGCCAGGCAGTGCACCGAAGCCTCACGGCAGAGTTGCCATGCACGTCGGGTTTTTAGCATCCGCTTGATGTCGGGTCTTGGGTCTCCGGCTCTCGTCGCTTGCAGTGTGGGAGAGCTATACATGTCAGACAGCTTCGGTTGTGGGATGCTCTTCGCAGCCCCCAGTTATGCGCGCGGGATCAACCAAGGTTCATGGATGCGCACGAGCTGCAGGAGCTTCTCTCCGTGCCCATGCCGATGCTTAGCTTAGCTGGCTCAGCTTTGCCTTCGCGAAGATGTCTTTTTCTTTGTTAGAAAAGAAACCCGCTCGGCACTGCTTGCGTCGCCGCATGACGCAGCTTGCAGTTCGGACATGCCCGGGACCCTCACTCCCATCACTCGCCCCTTGGAAGGAAGACCCTCGCATGGGTCAAGCTCTTCGATCCTGCAGCTTACGCTCAGCATGCGAGCACCAGGCCGGGAAATCGACCCAAACCCTTACAGAACACTGCTAAAATCTAGTGACCCTTCGAATTATCCCTATGAGAACAGAAAAGCCCTGGAAGCCCCTTGTTGAGGAACCTCAAGACCCCGAAACCCTAAACCCGGAGACTTGTGAGACTGTTCGGAGACACGAGCGAAGATCCGTCGAGGTCAGATGGAGTTTGACCCGCTGCATAGGGTTTACCTGAAACCCTGACAGTCAGGGACAAAGGCCCTCTACACCCTAAATCCTAAACCCTAAAACCCTAAAACCTAAGCCCTGAACATCCCCTTTTTGACCCTACTGTAGGTCCGCCATGGACCTCAAAAGGGTGAAGGTCTCAGTTCATGCTTTCCTGGCATCCGGCATCTTCATGTCAACTACGATCTCCAAGAGACAGAAGATCCGGTTTTTGCTGCCTGGACTGGACTTTGGTTTGTGCTTAGGGCTTTTCGGTTTTCAGGGATTTGGAGTTTGGGCTCCTTCTTTTGTTTGAGGGGGGCGTCCTGGCATTGAGGATTTCCTGAGTTAATGTCGGAACGAGGAGTTCCGCATGATTTCTGAATCTTTGAGACATAACATGTCAGGAAGCCACGAGATGTGAGCTGTTGCAGAATCAAGGCTGGGTATGTTTGACGAGAACGACAGCCGGATGCTCAATTCTGCCGAGTTTGTGGAGATGATTCTTGGTCTGAGAGCCAACTGGGGCGTGTGGTTTCGGCCTGACAGCTACGTAGGCTGCTTTAGGGTTTAGGCCGTAGGGGAAGTTAAAATGTCTATAATTATAGCGGGGAAGAGGTGCACACTTTCCCTAAACCCTAATGATCACACTAGCGATTCGTGATGCATCTCCTCACGGCCTGAACTGGGCTAGGGTTTAGGATTTTGGGGCTATAGGGCTAAGGGGCTTAGACCTAAAGCATTATGCGATGGATGGACCTAAGCTGACATGCCCAATTTTGTGATCTCTAAACCCTAAAACCGAAGCCTTCAAACCAGGCCCAAAGGTTCCGCCACAGTGGTATTCCGACTCTGATAGGGAGGACAAGAGCCGTCCAAAAAGAACATACTAGGTAGGCCTTTGGGATGTTTTTTTATATTTTCCCTTATTGGGCTTAAGAGGACCCTATTTACTAATATTTTTCAGAGGCTTTAAAGGGCCAACCAGACATAGGATCTCGTCCTTCTTGCATGGCATCGCCTGCGCCTTTGCACTGGTCGACTGCGTAAGCCTTGCGCCGAAGAGCCTTGGAGGAAGACTGGCAGGGTTTAGGATTTTAGTCCAGGTAATCTTGAAGTCTTTGGGTACACGTACGCATATATATATATATATANNAGAAGATCAAGCTGTTTTGGGCCAGGGTACTCGGCCTCTTAAGTCATGCATCACGGATCATGCTCAGGTGTCCTGTAGGGTTTAGGGCTTTGGGGGGCGATCGGGATCAGGTTGAGGTGTACCCTCCCTCAAGGATCCTTTGGCTCCACACGCGTGGCTATACGTACCCTAATGGGTTATAAGTAAGTGTAAGTACCCTCTTTCATAAGCCTTCTTGCTATGTGCCTTGATCTTGTGTATGGCCTCAGGGTAAGCCCTACTGCCTCAACTCCTAGCCCAAGTTGCCATTTCGAGGTTCCTTCTTTTTTTGCTATTCTTGCCGCAACATCTCAGGGCCTAAGCGCTTGGGGTCTAGGGCTTTGCGCTCAGGCCGAGTCTGCGTCGAAAGCTGGGAAAATGCCTTTTCGACCGGGTGGTGAACAGCGCCTGCTGCAGTTTGCCTTTCTGGGAGGTAGCTTGGAGTTGAAGATGCGTGATGTGGATCTTTGAGTGTCAATGTGCAAAGTGTCCCAGACAAAGCACTTTCGATGACTTGTTCAAAGCCTGAAAAGAGCAAGGCCAAGAAGATCAAAGCCAAAGATGCAGCACCGATCTGGCTTATTGAAGAGTGCCTGGCTGACGAAGCTTCGGTGTGTGGAAAATGCGTAAGCCTGTGGGCACATGTCGGTGCAGATTCGACTAGGGGCCAGCCTGAGAAGCTTCGACGAAGCATGTAATGTAGACTCTAGATGTGCTTCGCCAACGTCTGAGGTGGTTCCTGAGTGAAGGGGGAGACCCCCTCGCCGCTCCCTTTGCTATGCTCTTAGAGCGGTTTTCCGTTCGTGAGTTTGAAGATGATCCCGAGTTCTTCGAAGATGAGGACTGCCTTGGCTGAGGGTTTAGGGCCTCTAGGGTCTAGGGATGTTTCGGGTGTTACCAATTCCCCCTATTATGGCCTCAACCCCAGAAAAGACTAAACCCCTCTAACCCAAGAAAGCCCAAATTGAATAAACCACGCTGAACCGAGAACCCCTGACCCTCTGAATCCAAAACCGAAAACCCGACTGAACCCCACCAAGCTTTCTAAATCCTCCAAGCCCGGTAAGCCCCAAACCCGAAACCCTGGACCCGAGATTAGACCCACTAAATCTTGAACCCTGAATCCCACCATAATGCCACTAAACCGACTGCACCCGAAACCCTACATCGAACCCTACACCCACCACCACTCAATCCCACTTAGCCCATGAAACCCCAATAAAACCTCGCAGACCGCCCAGACCCGCTAAGCCCTAAACCTAACCCAAACCCCAAACCATGACCGTCCTGACAGGACAAAAGCTTCAAGCTCTCCCACACGGCCCCAGTGGAGTTGCCCTTGCAGACAGCAGCCGCGCTGGACTCGAGCTTCTCGACTCGGGGGCTTTATAGGAGATTTTCTTGTTTGCTGAGGTGGGGTGTCAGGTTGAGGGGGTTGGTGACTAATTTGGTGCTGAGGGTCAGGGTGGGGGGGTGCAGTATTGCGGCAATTATTGCGGGTTTACGGACATTGCAAGGGAGACACGCCTGGGGCAAAGATGTGAGCCGAAGCAGCAGAGCAGGCGCAAAGGTGCTTCAATTTCCGTGATGCAGGGCAAGTTTAGGATTTTGGGTTGGTTGGGTTTGGGATTCCGGGTTTAGGGTACACGGGTTCCTCGTGCGTGACTTGCAAAGGCTGTCTCCGCCGTGATGAAATAGGCCGACTGGCTTCGTCGCGGAGTTAGGGCACGTACACTTCCTGCTGCTTGGTGACAGGGTACGACAATGTGGTCTGACTTCATTGATCTGAAACTTTGCCTATGTCAGAAAATCTGGATGTGTGATCCGGAACTAGCCATGTTGCAACGACAGCTTGGTGGACCAGCTGGATGAAAGCGTAAGTTGGCAGGTCTTGTGCGGAAAGTCTTCTGCGAGTGCGAGAAGCAGCGTGACTTCTCTTTGTCTTACGAAGACATGGGTCGCCACGTGGTTGCACGAACGGCAGCCCAAAGTTCGGCACAAAAACCACGCATCTTACTGCCTATCCACAGAGGGTTTTCACCAAATCTGTGTGAGGTGCGGTTGGGGAGTTGATCCCGCCAGATCTATGGTGCGACCGACTGGTACGAGGTGCGATCTTCAGATCGCCCAATGCATGGATGCACATAGATTCTTTCAAACAGCCTGCATCTGAGGTCTGGACGAGATGGAGCGTTTGCGGGGTGTCGGGCAGACTCTTGCACTGACTTGAAGCATTGCCGCTGTTAGGGCAGAACTGGCATGGTTTGCAGACTTGAACTTTGTTGCGCTGCAATTGCATTTCACAGAGGCAGGTGCCTCACTGCTTCAGGTAGATCACGGTTAAGGGGATGCTTGTCTTTGCATTGCAGGGCATGCATGGCGACCCGACTCTGGCCGTACCGGGCCTTGTTGCAGAAGCCAGAGAACACTTCCCTGGCGAAATCGGATGAAAAAGGGGACTTCCCTTGTAACATCGCGTAACCCTAAACCCTAAACCCTAGAAAGGAAGACCCCAGAGGGATCACCGGTGTTCGCTTCGAGCTCTCCGGGTCGCAAACTTGTTGGGGCCTGGGAGCTCAATTTGTGTTTCTACAGCCTGTCCTGCCTCTTGTCCTACCCCTGCTCCTTCCTGCCCTATCTCGCTGCGTAGTACGCGGCCCGAGGGCGTTGGTAGGAACTCTGGTCTTCAAAACAACCCCACTGATGGTGGGAAAAACGGAATGGACGTGCGTCGCTCAGCCCCATTTTAGTTCTCACCCTAAACCCCTAAACCCTAAACCCTAACCCTTTGTTGGCTCAGGGTTGGCTTGGGCCTTAACGTCGAAAAAAAAGCAGCTAATGGAGGCTTTGCCATGCGCCCATGCTACATGAGCACCCTACTGTGAGCAGTTTTCTAATTTGGGGGGCCTTTTGAGGGTTCTTTATACGGGTGCCGCAATTTGGAGGAGGGGACCTAAAAAGGGACCAGAATTTGGAGAATTACCCACATGTAAAAGCCTCTCGAAGATGCACCGACATATAAACCTCAAAAAAAACATCAAGGGTTTGGGGTTTAGGGTTGAAGGGTTTACATAGTTTATGAGGTTTAGGTTTAGGTCACGGCACCGTTTCGATGTGGCTGCCGGACGGACCCTGTGAAGGTCGCACTGCTCCATGTTCGTGGCTTACTCGGTCGCATCCTTTCTCACAGCTTCAGAGTTTCCACGTCTTCTCGTATGTGCGTCCAGGGCAAGGCAACGAGGAAACAACGAAAAAAACAAAAGAGGCTGTGCGAGGTCGACTTCTGATGTCCTAGGGAGTTGGTGTTGGTATGAGGGGCTAGTGGGACGATTTATGCATACAGCGCGTAGGCGTAGACTGAATCCGAGCCATGCATCATAGCGGTTCATAGCGGGCAACAGTCCGAAGCCGCAAAGCTGACTGTTCTCAGGAAGCCCAACTTATCGCTCTTCCTCAGAAAGCTTTGCCCGAGTGCAAAGCCTCGCCACATTCGGCTGTTTCAGATTTGGATGAAGGAGTCGCTGGGAACGCAGCATCGGATTAAGATAGGGGCCTCAATAATTACCTATGTTATTTTTTGGTGGGTTCCTTATTGTAATTATAGTAGAATGGGCCCCAAAACCCTATTCTAATTATTTAGGCCCCTATGTTATCGTCCGCAGCGCTCAAGATTCCGGCATGCTGGGGCCCCGTGGTCGTCTCACGACAGTAGCTGTGAAGGTTGGACCATATAGAGGAGCTCAAGGAGGACTTAGCGACTTCTCGCCGCCTGCAAGAGTACTTCGAAAGCTTCCAAGTTGCAAGTCCCGGATTTGTCGCGAGCTTTTCAGAATAAGGGTCATCTTCCTGAGGTTATGTCGCCCGGCCAGTGCTTCCAGTACGTGTTCGCCAAGAGTTGCTGGAAGAGTATGAGAGCCTTGCGTTCAACACATTGCAGGCCAGGGACCTTTTTGCGCGATTTGCCGAAGGGTCGAGAAGAGTGGGCACTGCGCGTGTTGGCCGGGTACAGCCCAATCCTGTCTTGGGGCAACTGGTCAGGCAAGCGTCACGCGAGATGCCTTCCGCAAGAGATTCTACGATGGAGGCTCCAGGGTGACCCAGGACGCCATGTCCCACATGCAGCTTGCTTGTCTGCCATTTCAAACCCTTGGTTCCTGCAAAGCAAGCATCTGCGGTTTTTCTGTCATTGTGTTCAGGCCGGTGTGTACCGGCAGGCACGGTAGGCACAGGTCGCTGCACCAGACCATGTCATACCCTGTCACGGGGCAGGAGGATTACGTCGCTGCCATGTGCCCGACAGAGTTTCGCCACAAGGAAGGCAGCTTCGGTGTCGTTTCAGTCTTCATGCATGACGATGCGCAACGTGCATAGACGAATCGACCTTTGCGCAGTAGCCATGCAAACCTCATGGGACCTTTTTCTGGCACTTGAGGATAAGAGCCTTTCTGGTATTCTGGGTCCGGCAAGCATCCTTCGCCCGGTAGTTTCCGTTTCTTCGGTCTTCTTTCGATGTCTCTGCTCAGGCAACCCGGCCATCAATCAGGTCGTAGGCCAGTGCTGTGCAGCTGAGGGCTCTGTGTTGGGTCTTCGAGCTTAGGTTCGGAGTTCCAAGCCTCATGTTTGCGCAAGTTGCTGTTCGCCCTGGACCCTAAAGGCCCTAAAGGCCCTAAACACTGAACCGCCCCAGCTTTCCATCGCAGGCCAGCTGCTCAGCGCTTGGGCTGCAGTTCCGCTGAAGACATCACCACAGAGCCCTCATCCCACTCGGAGCATAGCAGCACCGACTGCACCGAGGATTGCAGGTAGCGAAAGTGGAGGAGGCCCTGTCGAGGAAGGATCGGTCCCGTTGTGCCGCTTGTTTTCGGCAGACATCATTTTTGAACTGCACGCACATCTTGAGGAGGCTTTGTTCGCAAAGAACGGTGAAGCTGCGGCCACGAGGCTGGTTGGGGGCAATTGCTGACGCTTCCTCGGCCAGTGTTTTGTCACTAGGCTCACCTCGCTTGCAATGAGCCTCAAAGAACACGTTGTAGCAGAAGGTTTCGGCAGCACTCTGCGATTCTTCGGTGTTTGCACCTTTGCGTGCATCTCCCCACATGTTGACCGGAATTGGACCAGAAGTCGCAAGCCCTTGATGAGCATGAGACAGCTTGCAATGTCGACGGAGTTGTGCGTTCAGTCGTCAACCGTCTGAAATAGTGTGATCGAGGTTTTCCCAGAAGTACCCTTTTGCACTTTTCTATTATTGGTGGTGTTAATTATTGTCATCAAGTAGTAGGAAGCAGGGTGCCCTTACTGTTAAGGGGCTATTGGGGAACCTGGATCAAGAAGCCTCAATCATTTCCAAGACTCTTCCTTGGGTTGCCTAGCATACGCATACTATAATGTAAGTTGAGACAATCTTGAGCTCATCAAGAGCTCATCACCCGCCAGATCCGGACAACTTAGGGGCCAGAAAAATTCGACTATACTTAAGTATACTCCAAAACCCAGCTCTAGTTACCAAGGCCCCTGGAAAGAAACTATCGTTGCTTTTCTGGCACGCTCAAGCCTCGACCTTGAGTGAGCCTTGCAGGAGGAAGTTCATCAAACCCTCTGTGCCAGACCATCAATGGGACTTGTGGAACGAGGCCTTCGATTCGTTCAGCTCCGCCGAGAGCAGCAGAGAAGGACCGGAAGGGAAGCTCCACGAATTCCGCAGCCTTGTTTCGCTTCTCAGCTCACTTTCGCTCTCCGTCTCCCTCTCTCTCTCTCTGTCTCTCTCTCCCTATCTCCCTCTCTCTCTCTCTCTCTCCCTCTCACTCTCTCCCTCTCTCACCCTCTCTCCTTCACATACCCCCTCTCTCTCCGACGGACACATCACACAAAGCCAAAGCATCGCACATATTTTAGCAGCACAGCAAGCCCACACACCAACTTAGTGCAGCTCGACTCGAGGCAAAAAAAGAAAAAGACCCAGAGCTCAGGCATACTGTCAGCAAACGGCAGTCGACTTGGCAGGCACCATGCAACGAAACACCATCAACCACACAATCGTTCACTCGTGTGAAACGTGCACGTTGCCAGCGCAATTGGCTCCAGAGCTCGCGCCGCAACAATCTCCTCGCAGCGCGCGGGGACACAAGCCAACTCCATCAGGCTGTGCAAACTGTGAAGCATCCTCTAATCTTCATATCCATCGACATGTTGATCCATCAAGCTATCTATAGATCTGTCCGCGCAGGCCCATGACCAAGAGCTTTGCCGACATCGCGACGGCCAACAGACGACGCGTCAAGCAGGACCAACACGCTATACCCGAAGACACACACACACACACATACACACAGATCGACGCCAGCAAGCCAGGTGCGGAACAAGTTGGCCAAGTGCACATCCGGACAAGAGCGATTGCGCTGCGCAATCCAGGCACGACGATGCTCTTAACAACAGGCTTTCGACCGCATCCTGCAACGTGACATGTCGAGATGATGATCAGCGAAGCCAAGAAAATCACTAACGCGGTGGACAACACCAGCATCCTACTCCTCGTGTCGCAGCCTCAGTACGGCACCAGTGCTGCACAGATCTATCAGACCTGTCAGGCATGCAAACCTACATCAGCACCAGAAGCCACACAGTTGATCAGCCGCGAAGTGTTCCACTGCAGGCTCATGCAGGACATCCTCGACCAGGATTCCCTCGCCACGGACGACAACCAAGCAAGTGGCAGTGGAGCGGCAGCGCATTCGATGCACGCCGATGCGCAGAGCCACGAAGCCAGCTACGAGGCCGCATGAAGCCCAGACCCGTTCATGTTCAGCCAGCCACGATGCAGGACTCACAACACTGGGAAGACGCCTGGTGAAGGCCGCCCGACAGCAAAGTGAGCTTGAGAGACTTGCACCAAAGAAGCTTCCACGCCCTCAAACCCGCTATCACACAGTGCACCACAACCAGGCTCCAGGACTCCAAGCTCAACTGTTGCAAAACAGCCAACCCCATACCAAGAAGATTCCCATGAAACAGTCCACAGCAGAGACAAAACGCAGTCGCTTGCAGCACTTGCCCCTCCAAGGCGCGCCACGCCAGCCGAGCAGATACGGGCAGTTACAGAACGACAGCGCTGCAAGGAGAGAAAATGGCACACTGCAGCGCAAAGCAACAGAGAGAGACCATCTCACGAATCCGTGTTTCATGCTTCATTCCATGTATGCCATACAGCTACATCAACCAGCATAAGAAAAAGCACCACTGCATCCGGTGATAAAACCCCACAGAAAAGGTACTAGACCTATACGACAGCTTCCGTAGGCACTTCCTCACACAACATACCAGACAAACACTGTTTTGTTTCGGATGATAACA